CCCCCCCCCACTCTTTCCATCTGACGACCCCTTTTCTTGTAGAAAGCCCCTCTGTTCCCGATTTTCTTAATTTCCATGTAAACTTTCAAGATTTTAAATTCCAGAGAATTTAGAGGATTTCTTTCAAACAGATTCTCCTGAGATCAAAGCTCTGTAAAGTCAAGGAATTAAAGAGGTTTAACGTTAAGCTATTTGTATCTCAGAAAAGGGGAAATTAAATAAGTTTGGGAAGTTAGAAAATAGAAATTACTTTATATCCCGGAAAACGAAGCCATGCAGAAAAGTCTCGAATTTTGTCTTCAATTGTTCAACCCTCCTAACCCCTCCAAGTCCCTATTTAACTGCCTGAATGGCCTTACATAGGTGTTTGTTGGCATTTTGTCAAAATAANTGATCTTATCTTTCCCTCCCATTTACCTAACTGCACCTCAAAAATTTTAATTCTTGGCGACATTTTACTTCAACGTTTAACCGCTGCACGACAAAAATTTTGGCAATCTCCAACAAAATCGGAGTAAAATAAATAGAAAAAAAGTTTGGGGTTTTCGAGGATTTTACGACATTTTTTGACAAGACTCTGGGGTCAGTGCCAAGTTTTTTAGAGATAGTCTTGCTCAAATACATAATTAGAATTTTTAAAGTAGAAAAAATGTCACATATACACACATTTAAAAGACATATCGTCGTCTTAATACACTTTTAAATACTTGTCTTGTAGGAGGGATCTGGGGGCTAAATGTCTATTTGTAAATAATGTTTAAAAACGTTGAATTTTTATTTTGAGGTCGGTTATATCCAATCAATATGAGTTGTTTATCGAAATTTTAGCCAAGGAGATGAAAAGCGCTTAATTTGGACCATTTAAGGTTTGATGGGTCTTCAAGAGGAGGAGGAGGGGGGGGGGTGAGGCTTTTTTAGGGCATCTTCTAAAATCGTTATTCAATAAAGAAAATTCCGCCACGAACGGTTTTTATAAAAATAAAAAATTTTTAATTGCTTATTTTTTCAGGCATTGTCCCAGGATAGAGATGGTTTGGTCAAGCTGAAAACTACTTTAAAGGATATCTATAAATCAGGAATAAGTAAGTATTTCAAATAATTATTTAAGAAGATTAAGAATAGAAAAATGTAAGAATGTGTCGTTACACTTTTATTTTCTTATTGCAATAATTTGTTTGTCCTACTCACATATTTAACTAAATAAAATACTTTTTTATTTCAAGGGAAAACAATTATTTGCTGTATTTTACATCTCACAGTTTTTGCCACCTTACCATTTGTTTTGGTTCCCCCCCCCCAACCCCTCCAAACATTTAGCATCCCCTACCCTGGAAAAAATTCCCCTCCCACATACTTTCCCCAATCTTCAAACAATCCCCTCCCCAAATCCACCCTCGCATTGTATTCATATTGAAATTTTACATAAAAGCCTTAATTTATATATGACATTTAATACTTTATTGATTATGGGTGACACCTACACCAAAAGGGGGAAGAGGGGGAGGGGGTTCATGAGGAAAAAGGGGGCACACTTTTTCTCGGACAAATTTATTCATTTTTGGTCGTAACTTAGTTTTATGGGCTCTCTTGAAGGATATGATATTGTTGAAAATAAAGAGCAAGGGGGTTAGAAGGGTGTGTGGAGGGGAAATGGGGGAGGGAGGGGGAGGGGGGCTGATACTGAGACAATTTAGATGTTATTTTCTGCACAGCGTGGCCCTTGGTAAAATTGCTCGATATTTTCCAAATTTATTGCTAATAAAACCAATTTTGAAAACAAAACCGGGGGGGGGGGGTGAAGTCTGTAAATTATACAAACAGTTTTTTAAAAATTTGTTGTTTTTTTAGACCACCATGGAATGGAGATGGAGATGACGAAAATTCTGGATAAAATGGGAGATACTGCCATTACAAGGTTAATTTTAATTAATTCTTAATTGCAGGGAAGTAAAATAATTTTATTTCCTCTATAAAAATAGATTTTGCAAAAGAAGAAATATTGCAAAGCTGGAAAAATAAATGTTCTAACTGTATGTATATAGGGAGGACGAAGATGATGAGATAGGAGCAGCTTTTCAAAAATTTGCCGTTCTCACCAAGGAACTGTCTTTGCTCATGAAACATTTGGTAAGTTTATCAAAAACAAATTCTCACTACAAGATTTAATATTTAAATTCTCCATCTAAGTAGCTTAAATTTTCAGTTGGGAAAATTTCCAAATTGGATTTTTTTTGGAGAGAAAAAAAAATTAAGCTTTGACATGAACGATCAATTTAACAAATTTCGTTTACATATTTAGTCTAGTTAAATGCACAGCTTTCCAAGCGGTGGTGCGGCTTAATGCAAAAACATTTAAAATAGATTTTGAGGAATATCTATCTATCTATCTATCTATCTATCTATCTATCTCTCTATCTATTTATATATCTCTCTATCTATCTATCAATCTATTTATCTTATCTATCTTTCTATCTATCTATCTATCTATCTATCTATCTATATCTATCTATCTATCTATCCGGGGAGGATCTGTCTAGTAAAGGCCTACAATTTAAATCATTAGTTTTGTCCGAATTTAAAGAAAAGAAGAATCAAGGTCTTGGTCGTTTTTTTTGCATTGACGTTGCACCATTATCTAACACTGCCTTAATACTGCCTGAATACATCTCTACAAATTATAGACTGCCTTAACAAGGTCGAGTCCAGGCCATCCCGCCTTCTATCTATATGTATCTATTTAACTATCTATTTATATATCTATCTATCTATCTTTTATCTAGATATCTAGATATCTTTATATCTATATATCTACTTATATATATATATGTATATATATATATATATATCTAGATGACGAACTTGAATACGATTATCCTCTACCCTGTGGAGAACGTACTGAAAAATGAGATGAGGGGGTCCAAGGGGGACCTCAAACGCCCGTTTGACCGAGCCTGGCGGGACTATACTGATAAATATAGTGAAATTGAACGGACCAAGAAGAAACAGGCGGAAAAGGCGGGTATGATCCGCAGTGAACTAACGGCGGGTGAAATCGCCGAGGATTTGGACAAAGAACGCAAATATCTCCAAATATCGATGGCAGATTATTTGTTGAAATTAAACGAAATCAAATCAAAGAAGGGAAGTGAACTCCTGTCAACGCTACTAGAGTATTATAAAGTACAACTCAAGTAAGAATTTTTTATAGAGTTTATATCTAAGGAGCAGGATTGTTTACATTTTATTGTGACGTATTCTAGCCTAGCATAGGATCTAGTCATATTGTTAATAACACTGATTACTGAGCAGTGGAATTTATTATAATTTTATCTTTGCTTACACGTAAGCTAGTTGTAGAGCTATTCTAATAAGTCCCATAAGAAAATGCACAACCCCTGTTTCTTGACAAAAATTCTAAACTTTAACCTTTAGTTTCTTTACATCTATCTTTGTGCATATACACCGATTAATCTAATCCTATCTTATCTTAATATTCTCACTATCCTATCAGCTGACTGATTACGTGTCAACGTCAGCTGATAAAATGAAGAAAATCCGCGTAAAAGTTTTAAGTATACGCCATCTTGATTTATGAGTCTTCGTGTAGCTTAGAGTTTAAATTTCTCCGCTTATCTAAAAATAAACACAAAAACTGATATTTTCTTTATAATTATCAGTTCTAAACTGTTTGCAGGGATACGATTTCACCCTCCCCCCAACACTTATCTTTTCCTAGTTTTTAAAACACATTAAAAAGTTGATGGGCGCGGGGTTGAACATTTCTTTTGAACTCTCCCAGCTTTTTGCTTTTTTTCTGGTTCTCAGGTTTCACTTTCTGTAATAAAACTGTCTATTACATGTTCTACATTTCAAAGCATACATGTAAATTCTACGAACGTTAACACGTTTTGTTGGATTTACGAACGCATTGTCAGTATTAAAGGGACTTTTAACGTACTTTCTTGTGAAGTTTGATTATAGGGTCAGTTACAATTGCAATGACATTCTCTTTAATAAATGAATTGTAAGCTCTAAGACTTCCCTTTTTCAAATTTTCAACCTTGAGCATTCATATTTCAAAAAGGAAATTTAAATTCAATGTTTTTCTTCCTTCATATTTTATTTGGCCTCATAAAAATGTACATATTTTGTTACTTATCCTGTATACACATATATATATATATATATACATGTTTGAGAAGGCTTGTAACCCGATATAGTTGTCTATATACTGCATTATTTAAATTCTCACATATATTATTATTAAAATATTATAATAATCCAAAACTATTCTAATCCTCTCCAATATTATTCTTTCAAATTTTAACTAACATGGAGGTTAAGAATAAATTAAATTTTCTCTCCAGCAAAATATTCAATCATTTAAAGAAATAGAATTAAGTCCCAAAAAAAAAGGAATTAATGAATTGAATTATTTCAAATTAGTTCTTAAAAAGTACTTTTCGAGACTTCCTGCAAACGCATAATGGGCCTAATGTTTGCAACAATTCATTAGTTGTGGCCCAGAATCTTAATTATAGCTGCTAGATGATTTACAAATCGGGGGAAATAACAATATTTCATGATGCTTCACAAGTACTCTCCTCCCTCAAACGCCGACATTATTTGTTTAAATTAAGTAATATAATATCTACTTATTCTACAGTAAATATTGGACACATAATTTATTATCTTTTAATTAAATTCTAACATTTTTCATCCTTGTTTTGGATTTAGTTGAACTGCAAAGGAATTTTCTTGCCGCGGATACCTGGTCTTTTTATAGCTGTTCCCGCCATCTTTTGAAAATTCCAAGATTTTTGTTTAAATTTTAATGTAAAATATTCAACGTTTTAACATTTTTGCACTTGAAAATTAATTGTTTAGTGTTCTTTGCGCCGTTTTTGCTAATTGAGAGTTAAATTTTGACGGACTAATTTGAAATTCCGTTTTTAAAAAAACCGCAAATTATGATAATTGGGATTTACCGTTCTGGAAAAACGCGGAGTTTGGAAAAATTGCGCGAAATATATTTCTGGGTGAGGACGTTACGACCATGATTTACTCGTTTCAAACCATTTTCCCAGGCTAAAGGAAACCATGAGAAAAAATGTTTAAGGGAAAACAATACTTCACTAAAACGTAAAAATTATTTTTTTTAGCAATTGAAATTTGTGTCACTGATAAAAATAACACCCCTGTAAGCAACGATATAAAGTACATTTCCTTAGTAACCATATAATAGGTTTCTAAATGACAAACAATCTTGAAGAAATTTAACATTTATACGCTTCGTGCAAGAGAAAATGATTTATTTTGACAATTTAAACCTTTTCTCAAAATATTATGAGTTAATTTTCTTTTTATTGCAACAGATGTCGTAGAATTTTAGCATGAAAATAAATATATGAATATACACTACCATGTTGGCAGATTTCGGAATTATCATTATTATTGTTTATTTTAGTATATATTAGTCAGCTGTTTTATGTTATATTATATATATTTTTTAATTTAAATCCTAGCTTCGTGCGGTTTAGGAATCGTTTATAAATTCTCACGGATATATGTAGTATAGCGTAGTTATTTTATACTTCCTGAATTACCATTTCAGCAGTCATAACAATTTTTTACGCATTTGCATTTCTTTTTGGAAAACGCCGTATTTTAACAGGATCACATTCATACAATCAAACCTTTTTCTCAAATTATTTTAGTTTTAGGAGTTTCTTTTTTTAGATAAAAGAACAGGATATTGTGCATTTTATCTTTTTTTTATGAGAGAACATATAAGTATCCTTTTCAATCTTATACCATCTTCAGAATAGGTTCTGTCAAAACACCGAGATTGTAAAAACCGATATCTGCCCAGCTTTCCAAAACACGACATTGCAAAAGTCGATACCCACCCAATTATCGTAGCTTCTTTAGGATTATGCCAGATTTGAGCACGAGGCTATATCAAGGCCGACTTTGATACAAATATTGAGGATGCAGGACAAAATGGCCTCAAGTCGATATTACGACACATTGACCTACAAGTGACATAGTTGGTTTGGTTCCAGTCGACCTCAATACTTTCAAAACAATGTGTCATAAAACATTAGAGTTTGGGATGCCCTAGGCTGAGGCCTGTTTTGTTTATACTATGAGGCCGGGGGAGGGGGGGGGGGGTTAATCTCAAAAGAAACCGAATCTCGGCTGTTAAAAATGCCACAACAAAAGTTTAAAAAAGAAAGAAATGTTTTTATTTTTAACAATGTTGTGTCCTGTTGAAAACACGCCCAAGGGTGGGGAATTTTGTACAAATGAAACTTAAAGGGCGGCAGAACGAGCTTTGACTTTCCTCCTTAGGGAATCTTCGACAAGCCTCCCCCCGGCCCCCCTCCCCCCATTTTCAGTTCCTTATCTGCCTCATTTACGTCTAATTTATTCCAAGTTTAAGGTTTCAAAATTACAACACGAGAAATGTTAAAAAAAAACTTGTCTAGACTCTAAAATAGAAATAGTTTTTAGGGGAACATCTGGGGGTTTTAAGGGTCCCACATTCAAAACCCATTTTTTAAAACTTCACATTTAATTACAAACTATTGAACGTTTTTTAAAGATCATCATGTCTTTGATCCAGAGGAAATCCCCAGGAAAATTTTCAAAAGTGCAAAATTTAGAAAGAGAGAAAAAATTTGTTTTCTTTTTTTAAATGTCATTTTTTAAACGCCACACTATTCAGATCTTCAAAAAGTATTCAGGTTTAAATAATTGTTATAAAATCTGCTTGTTTGCCTTAATATTGCTTAAGAATGTTATAGGAATGTATTGGCTTGATAAGGCCTTATATTATTGCCCTAAAATGAAATAGTTTAAATTTATTTAAGCTAGAATACATTTATGTATGAATAAAAGAATTTTTATGTATGTAGAAGAGAGAGAAGGGGGGGGGGGTTAAGGAGCGAAAAACAACACAAGTTTCAGTTTTAGCTTACTTTAATCATTTTCAACCCCCCACCACTCCTTTCCTCCTAAAACTTTATATTTCCTCCCTGAAATGTTATTAAACTTTCAAATAGAGTTTTCCTAGTTCTCTAAACTATTATTCCAGCTTTAACAGGAATCTTACTCCCACTGCCCACCTAGCTTGCTTTTCACAAAAAATCTTTTTTTTTTAAATCTTATTTTATTTTTGTTTAGAACGGAAACATTTCAACAAGTCAATATACCCTGCACCAAGCTAAAGGAGATGCAAAGGTAATTTTAAAAAGTTTTTTTNATCTATCTATCTATCTATCTATCTATCTATCTATCTATCTATCTATCTATCTATCTATCTATCTATCTATCTATCTATCTATCTATCTATCTATCTATCTATCTATCTATCTATCTATCTATCTATCTATCTATCTATCTATCTATCTATCTATCTATCTATCTATCTATCTATCTATCTATCTATCTATCTATCTATCTATCTATCTATCTATCTATCTATCTATCTATCTATCTATCTATCTATCTATCTATCTATCTATCTATCTATCTATCTATCTATCTATCTATCTATCTATCTATCTATCTATCTATCTATCTATCTATCTATCTATCTATCTATCTATCTATCTATCTATCTATCTATCTATCTATCTATCTATCTATCTATCTATCTATCTATCTATCTATCTATCTATCTATCTATCTATCTATCTATCTATCTATCTATCTATCTATCTATCTATCTATCTATCTATCTATCTATCTATCTATCTATCTATCTATCTATCGCTCTATCCCTGTTTAAAACCAGTAACATATTTTCAATTTGTCTAACCTACAGGAAATACCAAATGATTTGTTTCTTCAACTTATTCTCCGATCCGTCATACTTTTAAATTCATTCATATATACATATATATATCAAGTTCATCTTATATATATATCTATCTATCTACTTCTTTTATGATGTTTGCTTAGTATCTATCCATTTCCATATGTCTATCTGGTTTTTAAGTATGCTTAATATCTATCTATCTATATATCTAATTTTCATGTATGCTTAATATCTATCTATCTGTCATTTCTGTCATTTGAATACTTGAATTCAGGCCCCTTGATGATATCTCAGTTCAAACGTCATTAGATGACCTTCACAGTTGGTGCCCATACTATCTATCTATCTATCTTTTTGTTTCCTCATAAGGTTTCTTTATGGAATCCATCTATCTTTATGTCTATCTTTCAAGAATCTCTAATCTACATATTGATCTTTTGTATATCTATCGATCCATCTATCTAAAAATCTATCTATCTATCTGAATGTATATTTGTATAGGGAAGAGCGAAAACACTTTATCCGTGAAAAGTACATTGACAAGTCTTTCATTGAACAATATTGCTCCAACCCTAGGGAACTACATGCTGAACTAGAACAGGTATTATTATTATTATTGTTATTTTTTTTTCTAAATATTTCAAAGCATTAATGTGTATTTATTAAAAAAATAAACATTTCCAAAAACTTTAAAATCCCCAATTCCCCTGAACTAGGTCCTGTAAAAGATAAACAAATGTTGTAAATAAATATACTACGTGTTAGATATCTAGGTTTGCACTCTATATATATTTGCTTCCTACTAACTTAATCTCTGCTATCATGCATACAATCCTTATTCGTAGGTCCCCCCCCCTCCACCCAAAAATCGTTTCGTT